CAGTGGGGGGAAAAAAACAGTGGTTATTTGCTCTGTGGGTTTGCCAGGAGTCGCCTGATGTCCTCCTTTAGATGGATCAAAGGCCAAACTCGGGAAAGGAAGCCAGCTGTTCTCCAGGTGAACCCTCTGTTGAGGTGAGGATCTCCACACCTCCCTCCCATGAACGCCTTAATGAATATAAAAAGGAGAGATTGTAATTGTAAAGTGTAATTATCTTCTCAAAAAAAAACAAAAAAACCTACTAACTCTTCCAAATTGGAAGAGCGAGTAGAACAGGCGAGGCGAAGGAGGGTTCCTGCTTTGGAGAATAGAACCGGACTCGCCCTTTTCAAAGCAACAGGTGTTTGTGGCAGGCGGCATGCCTTCCTCGCGGGCCTCCACTATCCCGAAATAATTTTGGAACCAAACAGGTGAACCGCACCCCTCTGGAGGCAGATGGCTGCTCCTCTTCCAATTATCTAGATATAAAAATGGCTTTGTGTGTGTGTGCGGGTGGGTGGGCTCCGGCATAACTCTGGAACGCCTGGAGCAATTTCAACCAAACTTGGTACACAGGTGACTTGACTCTCTTGGAAACCAATACTGTGGGGGGTAAGACGCCCCTAAAACACCTCAGGGTGTGTGTTCTGTTTAAGATACAGCCTGTTGTGCCTTCAAATGGCTTCTACTATACTGCCATAAAATGGCTTCTACTGTACAACGCAGTGGAATTGCCATGGTAAGAGATTAACAGTACTCCACAAGGGGGCTCCCTCTAGTAATGGGGGAAATCCAACATTATAAATTACGTTTGGTCCGGACCTTTTCCCCCTATAAATAAATACCCAGGTAACACCGGATTATCAGTTAGTTGAGGATAAAGAAAGAAAGAAAAATGCAATTCCACTGAGACACACAGCACCAATGGCCATCCCTCTTTCATTCTGGATCAGTTGGAAATCGTTCTGAGAGCGCCGATCTTTTGGTCCGCAGGATGAAGCCAAAGGAAAATGCAGCCCTTCTTGTCTTGGTAGAACTTCCACAATGCATCCGATCAGAAAGGAAGACTTCTCTCCTCCCTGCCCCACCAAAGACACTTTTGGGGGTCTTCAGCGGGATCTTAAAAAAAAACGTAGAATAAAAGAGAGTGCTTCGCCATAAAGCACAGAATTACAGAAAAAGAAATTACAAAAATCGGAATCGGCTGGAGGTCAGCGAGAGGATCGTCGGGAAGGGACGTTTAGTGAACCGTCCTCTCCTTCTGCCTGTGGTAATCTGGAAGGGAAAAGGCAAAAATGAAGGTTAGAAGCTCAAGAGTCAGAATGAAAAACCCAACAGCCTGCTACGGGCGGGCAAAAGTCAGTGTGAACTCCACAAGAGGTGGATGACGACAACCCCCCCCCCTCTTTTTGTAATTGCTACCAACAACTGGCATTCCGCAGTGGGCACAAAGGTTCTATTTCCCCAGCCTGGCACAGAATCTGACAATTTTCCTAGAACAATCCTCAAAGATGCCAGTCCTATAAACCTTCTGAGAGATATGAATATCCGATAGATTTCTGTTTTCCTCACCAGGCCTCACGGGGCGAGCCACCGGACCAGCAGGAGGTGTGGCTTCCAAAGATTTCCTCAATCTCCAATAGGCAATCAAGATTAGGTTAATACCCAATGGTTACTCCTCCCACACTTTCTCTTCGGAAACTAACAGAGTTGGAAGGGACCTTGGAGGTCTTCTAGTCCAACCCCCTGCTCAGGCAGGAAACCCTACACCCCTTCAGACAAATGAGTGTCCAACCTCTTCTTAAAGACTTCACAATTTCTGGAGGCATGCTGTTCCACTGATTAAACTGTCGGGAAATTTCTCCTTAGTTCTAAGTTGCTTCTGTCCTTGATTAGAAATAGCATTTAGACTTATATACCGCTTCATAGTGCTTTTACAGCCCCCTCTAAGCGGTTTACACAGTTAGCCTATTTCCCCCCAAATTTTGTGTCATTTTCCTCACCACTAAAGGCGG